TTTTATTTATTTAATATAATATTTAGATAATATTTATTTTTTATAATTAATTATTTAGAAAATTTATTATATGAATAAATTATTTATTATTAAGTTCATAGGCTAAGAAATATCATATAATTATTAGTGTGTTGATCTTGTTCTATATATATTATTAAAATTTATTTTAGAATATTATGTTTAAAAAAATTGAATACTACTATTATTTTTAATTAATTCTTATGTAGTCCTAACAACAATTAAAAAAGTTATTTTTATATAATCACTACTAACAACTTTTACTCTCTTAATATCTAGAAAATGAGAAAACAGTAGACAAATTTAACTCAAATTATTTGTGGTTTTTAATAAAAAAATATATTTTTCATATTTATTTTATAATAATATATTAAAAATTCAATAATATTAGTATTATTTATAACAAAGTCTTTTGACTGAATTTTTTAAAAACTCAATTTTTTTATTAAGAGTCCATTTTATTATTTATCCCAGACTTCTCAAAAGTCAAGACCAACTTTACGTAACACAAAGCAGTTATCTTGAAAAAGAAAGTGGAATTTGAATTATGTGTTTTGTATTAAACATCAAAAACATAAACACAATTGGTTAATTTTTTTTAATGTAATTACAATATTCATAAAGGGTATAATTGGAATAAAAATAAGACAGTCCAAAAATGAATATCCCTTTAAAGATAAATAGTTATAAATATGTAATTTAGTTGAAAATTGTAAAACACCTTCATTAATAATGTGAAGTTACACAGATGCCTTCAATCCCTAATGGACCCTTCATTACTATTTATGATTTAAAGAATTAATTATTTTTTCTTCAGTTATAATTAATATTACCTTGACTTGAAGTATCAAAAATATTTTTGAAATAACAGAAATATCTTTTGACAGTGTTTTAAAAATAGAGTAGATCAGTTAAATTGGGAATCATAATGGTCATTGATCTAGTTTGATTGTTGAATCGAATATGTTGTTGAACTAGTGAAAACCGGTAAAAATAAGTGAAACGGCAGTTTTCTTAATTTTTAAAAAAATATATAAAATTAAAATATCACTAGACTTTATTAAAAACTTATATGAAACAACTTTTCCTTATTTGCAATTAGATCTGATTCAAAATTTATTTAAATTTGTATTTTATATTATTTTATTGTAAGTGATGATTATATTTAGAGCTTGAATTTAAAGAATGGACGTGTAAAGTTATGATATTTTGAAATTTTATAAATGTCTTTATATTTTTTAGAGATCGAGTCATGCGATTCGACCGATTTCATAAATATATAGTTTTGTTATAGAGACTGATTTATTAAACTGAGTTATCCGATTTAATCAACTTTAATCATACAATTCGACCAGTAATCTAGTGATTCGACCAATAAACAAGTGACTACCTATGAAGGGTACAGTTTTTAAAACATTACCTTTTGTAATAAGATGTCTATTTTATTCCTTAATCTTCTTATATATTAATTCGTAATACATCACTGGTTGGTTCGTAATCAAGCTCAAACACACTGAATCCATTATATTTAAGTTTCTAATTAATTATATCTCAAACACACAGCAATCTTCATCATTCTAGCTATGCGTCTGTTTCCCGAGTAATTTTAATCAACCAGACCAGCTCAATACCCTAGTTTTCAGGGGGAGTGGTTAATGTGCAATCACTCTAAAATTTGATGCCAAATTTTCTTTGTTTCTGTGCATGCAAAAAATAGATGCTGACAGCTTTCCTGCTCATCACAAAAAACACATGAACCATTTGTATTCGTGTTGAACCTCCTCAGTCTATCTTTTCTTGGAATCCTCTTATGGCATATCATCCAGAGAATGAAGGTAGCTCTCGGACGGGCTAGATTGCCCATAAGAAGGTCTCTCAGAGCCACTTCATGTTTCTCCGCGCGAAGCATTTCGTACATGGTACTAGTCACATATCTCCATGTAATCTAAAAATCATTCCAAACAACAAAATTAATAAGAAAATCTCTGTATTTGAAAACAACTTTAAAATCCAAGAGCAATTAGCAGCAGGTTGATAAGTTGCAAAATCTCGCTGCTTCATATAATACTGATGAATCCAGGTGATCCACAGTCGTTCCTTCTTCTTATTGATATTCCAAAGTAATTTCCCCATAATAGCTCTATTCCAAGCTTTGAGATCAGTCAGGTTTAGGCCACCTGCCACCACAGGGTCACAAGTCTTCTCCCATGAAATGGGAATTCTTTTGCTATAATTGTCTTTTCCAGATCAAAGAAAGTTTCAGCACAAGCTTTTCGCATGAGATATCACCTTCTTGGGCAAGGGGAAATTTGCACCCAATAGTTTGCTATGGAAAAATCACACTTTTAACCAATTGAAGTCTCCTTGCATAAGACAGAAGTCTAGTAGTCTAGTGGGTAATTCTAGTCAACATCTTCTCAAACAAAGGTTGGCAATTGGAAATAGTTAACTTCTTTATATCTAAAGGGACCCCTAGATATTTGAAAGGCATCTTACCAACTTCAAACCCAGTTTCCTGTTGGATAATTCTCTGAGTTGCAACATCCACTCCGCCAAAGTATGTTTTGCTCTTGGGGATTCTCATTTGCAGACCCGTGGCTTTATAAAACACCTTAACTTTATTCATAATGAGCTTCATAGATTCAAGATCCCCTCGCAGAAACATGAGAATATCATCAACAAAGCATAAGTTCACAATTTTCAACTTTTCACATTTTGGGTGGAAGTTGAAATTAGGATTGTCTATTAGACCCTGCAAGACTATGTGGAAATACTCCATAATGATGACAAACAGGAGGAGGAGATGGGATCGTCCTACCTCAAAGCTCTTTTTGCTTTGCTTTGGTCATCAAATGAAAAAACTACACAATTTAATATGTTTTTTATTCTTACAAAATCACTCACCATTTAAGTTTTAGTCTCTCTAAAAAATTTCTTCAAAAATTTTTCCTTTAAAATTTTTTTTTTTTTAATTTTTGGTCCAACCTGCAATTTAGAGACAGTTTTTATAACTTAGCAACAAAATTAACAATGACTTTTTACTTAGCGACTTTGACAGGAGGTAACAAAAAGTTTTAATTAAATTTTTTCGAAAAACCATTATTTAAAAGAAATTTTTGAAAGGACTAAAATTAAATATAAGATATTTAAAAGGATCAAAAACATATTTAATCCTTAAACGTATTATTAAATAATAAAAAATAAAATTTCATTACTTTTCATAACTCTTAAGATTTTATTATTTCTTTATAAAATGAATAATATATTTTTTTATTAAAAAAATTATGAATACCCAAAAAAATTAAATCTTTTTGTCTAAAAGTTATTTATTTGAAAAAGAGAAATATAAATATTTAAGAATTTAATTTATGTGCATCAACTGAGCAACAATATTTTACACTGTCAATTAATTATAACCATTAAATTTTTATAAGTATTTGACTTTTACTTTGATTACATATAAAATAATACTTATGAACTTATGAATAGTTATGATGCATCGACTGTATAAATTTTTTACACTGACAACACATATGAATTAAACTTAAGATTTAATATTAAAATATTTTATATTATTATAAAAAAATTTCGATTTTGAAAATGTTTCTATGTAATAGTTATTTATTTAATTAACAAATATTTGTTTTCCTTATAATGAAGGTCACTTTAATAAAAAGTATTTTTATATAAATATAAAATTTCCATTTTTATTTAAATTTTGTTTTCTTCAATATAGGACTATTTTTAGTGCTATCAAAATACTGTATTTTTCTTTATATTTATTATAGTAAAAAAAATAACAATAATTAATAAAGTTGGTTTGATAAAATTTATCTCTTTATTGCATTTTTTTAATGTTTCCGTTAATATTTTTTTTGTTTTTGTTGAGGAAATGTCTCTACAAACCATATACAAGTTTGTTTTGAAAACAAAAGAAAACGTTGAGAAAGTAAAGAAAAAATAGTATCTATCTATACAGAGAAAGAGTTTTAAAATTTTCGTTGTCTTAAATTTGTAAATAATTAATATTGGTATTAAAATTGTAAAGTTCAAAAGATGAAAGCAAAGAAAAATATATACAGAGAAAGAGTTTAAGAAATTTTGTAGTCTTAAATTTGTAAATAATTGATATTGGTTTTAAAAGTGTAATCTTCAAAAAACGGATTTAGTCGATGTTTCCATAATAATTTTTAGATTTAATATATTTTTAGTCTTTTATATTAACTTTTCAAATATATTATGATAATTCTTTTTCTTTAATTAACGACGAAAAATATAAAAATTAAGTGATAAATTCATTGTTAATTAATGAAAAAGACATATTTTTAAAGTTAAAAGATTAAGATGAAACTTTTTTAAATAAATTTTGAAATTAACATGCAGATAAAAAAGATATTAAACTTAATTTTTATTTTATTAAAAAGAAATTTAAAAATAAGAAACAAATCTCAAATTATCTTTATATTTAAAGACAACGATTATAAATAAAGAGATTGACGTTCAATGTGCAATATAGTTGATACATCTTTACTCAAATTGTTCTCTACTTCTTTTAAATTGATCAACCACCAGAGTACGTTTGTTTCTCCCTCATATATTTTCGTGTATGTGCTCTCTGTCCTTTAATATTAAGATATTAATATATGAAATATTTATCTATTATTATCAGATCTATTACCATTGGGAAAATCATGAAGCATTTATCTAACTTAAAATGTTCTATAAGACATATTGAAACTAATTAGGTTTTTGTGATGTATATTTTTAAAATAAAATATTAGATTTAAGCTCTCAAAAAAATATTATTTTTTGCAAGTTAATTTATTTTTTGATTTTTGATTTTTGTGAGGCTTTATAAATGTATTAGAGGGGTATAATCGTATAAAATATTAGTATTTGATACAGTTTTACGGATTTGATACTTTAAGATCTTATTATTGCAACAGGCTTGAGTTAGATTCAACAATCTGATTCTCGTTAAGATGGAAAAATCCGTGTGTGTCACAAATGTAACGGTTAACAACCATATACCTGAAGATCTTTCCTTTTCAATCCTTTCAAAATTGCCGATAAAATCTTTGAAGAGATTTGGATGTGTACGCAAATCATGGTCCATCTTGTTTGAAAATCTTTATTTCCTGAACATGTATCAAAACTACTTCATTTCTAATAATCATTCCTACTATGATGATACTTCTATCATCTTACATCACAGGAATGATCCACTTCCTGGTGAAGAAGATCAAAATACATTGTATTTACTTTCAGGGGAGAGGTGTGATAATCTAATCAAATTAGATTGGCCAAATCCATTACACGAGGAGAATGTTTGATTTTCTAATATTTTGAGTTTAACTAATGCAAATGGAATTCTTTGCCTTGTTAATACTATTAATCATTTAATGGATTGTGTATTATGGAACCCCACTACAAATGAATGCAAGGTTATTCCTTTGAGCCCATTTATGTCCCAGTCGCCTAATATGGAACCTTGTGTATCTGTTGTTGCTTTTGGTCATGATCATGTTAGAGATGATTGTAAGTTAATCCGGCTGTTAAGATTTTATGAAATAACTGACAATGATGTACCAAGGGAGGAATGCATATATGTCCCCAACATGTGGGAGATATATAGTCTAAGAAGAAATTCATGGAAGAAACTTGAAGCTAACACTAATATTGGAAATTCAAATAATGATAACCTATACGTGAATGGAATGTGTCATTGGTGGCATATACATCGTGATTATGATACTAACATTGATGATCCATTGTTGGTGTCATTTGACTTATGTAATGAGGTATTCCTCACAACACCTTTGCTTGTAGACACGATTGAACGTTTTGATATTTATCATTTGACATTATTGAATGGGGCCATAGCTTTCATAACATACGATGGAACCACTACTTTTCATATAAAAATCTTGGGAGAAATTGGTGTGAAGGAATCATGGGCTAAAGTATTCATTGTTAAGCCTATTCCCTACTTTGAACGTATTATCGGAGTAGGGAAGAATGGTGTTATATTCTTCATAAAAGATGATTGTGAATTAGTCTGGTTTGATCTAAGTACCAAAAAGATTGGAGAGTTGGGTATTAAAGGACGAAAATTTTATTGTTACATAGTAAGTTATAAGGATAGGTTTCTCCCGATTGAAAGTTTTCTTATATAGATTGGCTTGTCAAGTCCATATATGATATAATTAATATTAAGTGTGTGAAAAATCAATAAATAATTTGATACTATGATCTTTTAATTTCCAAGCACAACTAGTTTCTATGCCAATCATGAGAATGATTTAGTTTCTGTACATAATGATCTTTTATATATATATATATATATATATATATATATATATATATATATATATATATATATATATATATATATATATATATATATATATATATATATATATATATATATATATATATATATATTACAAAAATGACATTTAATTTTAAAAATGGATTTTACCGCGTTCTACAGAGCGATGCAACAAAGAGTATTATGAAAATTGCATCATTTTTCACCTCGGGCCATTGGCCGAGGGGACAAACTAGAAAGTACACTATTTTTCTTTTTGGTTGGAGCTTCCATCAGGAAAAATAACACTTTTCATGAGTTTGATTTCAAGCACCAATATTTGTGTATGTTGAAAATAAAAAATCTGCAACTTCGTACCTTAGTTGGGCTTAGAATTGAGGTAAAAAAATCCAACTTTTCATATCAGTTACCTAAAATAATCGAGGTTTTTTGCATTTACGATTTTTTTTTTTGTGGAACCTTGTTTTAAAGGAAGTATGCATTTGACAAGAACAACAACTTTTGATGATGACAACTAATGTCACTTAAAAAGTCAAGCATAAGTGGTTAAGTTGTTAAATATGCAAACATAAAATTAGGGTTTGTTGGACTTTACTATATGATGATTGTAACACCTTAAAACCCTGAATCTTAATTTAGAAGAATAGATGATCATTTAGGATGCTATCAAACAAAACATGCATACTTTCTCATTTAAATCAATAACTCGCAGCAAAATTCAATTAAGTAATGTAAACTTCAACAATCTCATCACACTAAAATACTTAATGAATTAACATAATCCAATGGTTAACTCAAAATGTTACGGATCAAAGCATTTAACCAACTATGTAGCGATAAACAATAAGATAAACAAATAAAAGCTCCAATGCCATCTTCTAACTCACATCAATAATTACTCCACATGAGTATCTATATAACAATGTACAAAGCAACATAAAACAACAAGAAATAAGTGAGAATACACTTTAATATATTAACGGTGTAAACAATGTAAAAGTAGTTAAATCACACAATTATCACACTATAATCATTCACATAATCAACACCACAAATTCAAATAGACATCAACAAAATAATCAACTCACAAAGCCTTTATGAAACAATGTGACTCACGACTCAACTCAATGCATGTGCTACCAATTGGATATCAAATATTTGTTATTGATCTCATCCCATTAACAATGGCTCATCTTGTCCCAGCATTTCCAAAGATGAAATTTTGTACTAAGGCCAATGCGGAGAAATATTTGAAGCATGTAGGTTACTGTGATACGGTGGGAGAACTGACTTGGGTGTTTTGCATTTTATCGCAAATGTTTCGGTTAGCAAGAGTCGCTACCGACTTTTCTTTTATCCAAAGAGAAAGGTGAAAAAGCACAGGAAATACCTTTGAGATTATTTCTTGAGTTCGGGGGGTAGATTATGAAAAAGGAAGGTATTGCACCATTTTCATCTATGGTTTTCCATGGGCTCTTAGTTACTTTCTAGATCACTTGCTTTTGTTTGAAATGGTGCTTTGTGTGGTTATGAAAGTATTTTTGAAAAGAGGGCATCGTTTAGGCAAACTTTACAATGATTCTCGTTCGTAAGAATGTATACAAAGTGTTTGATCTTTTGAAAATGTTTTCAAGTTTTGAAATATGTTTTGAAAGTGTTGGTGTTTGTTTGTAAAATAGCAAGGATGTTTTTGTTTTGAAATGGAGTAAGTAACTAGGAACAATCTACATACTCAAAAAGTCTTTCATGTTCATTTCCTTTCTCCTTTGGCATTGTTATCTTACAATTGATTTGGTAAATAACTCAATCTTTGGATGTAAAAGGGACGGGCGTGGGTCATCGTATAATCATTTTGAAAGGCAACATGAATAGCATCATCGAGGGACTATGATCTTGTATTTTGTTTGTTTTAGCTATGATACCTCAGATGCATAATATGGCTATTTTTGTAAGGAAACCAAGTGGATTTACCCTAGGGGTGTATGTGTGTAAGTGTATTGATTTTCATGCTTTGTTTTTGTCTTGATTAAGGTTTGCTATTTTGTTGGTTTTAGTCTTTCCATACAAAACCCTAATTACTAGCATTTTCATATAAAGCGATAAATTGCGGAATTTAAAATTACTACGCTATTACAATACTTATGGGAGGGGGTGTACAAATTACAAATGAGGAGTATTACAAAAAAAATTAAACCTAAATAATCTATTACAACCATATTGAACATGTACAAATGATTGAATAAATAATATATAAATACAAGAATATAAAAAAGAGATATTTTTGGTTTGGTTTTCATAAAATGGGTTTAACCTAAACCTAATTAAAAAATGATTAGTTAAAATTAAAATAAAATTAACTTAAACTAATTGAGAAAAGAAATTAAATTAAAAAGATTTTTTTAGGGTTTTTATGAAGAAAAAGGGTTTTAAGTTAAATAATAATAAAAAGTAAAAATTAAATAATTAAAAGAAAACTAAATTCTAAGTTAATTTTAATTAAGAAAATAAAATAATTATTAAACCCAAGTCTAAATATTTAATTATTTAAAAGAGAAATTAATTTGTTAAAAGAAAATGTTTTTAATATTTTTGTTTTATAAGAAAATAAAATGAATAAGAGTAAATAAAATATTTTAGGATTTTTCATGATTAATGAGAATAATAATAATAATAATAATAATAATAATAATAATAATAATAATAATAAAAAAAAAATAAAAATATTAAAGAAGAAAAGAAATTAAAAAAATAAGAAAAAAGAAAATAGTAAAAGAAATTGGGTCAGGGGTGCACAAGTAAATCAGGGGTTAGTAAAAGAAAAAACATCATCAAGCCCAAGTTGGAAGCCCAAGCGTTGCTTGTTTGGAAACAAAAAAAAAAGTGAAAAATTGTGAGAAATGAAAAAAGTAGCATGCTGGGTGTTGAACCCACACCCTCTTGGTTACCAGCGCGCTGCCTTACCATTGGAGTGACTATACATCTGTTTATTAAAATGAAATGATAAATACATAACGTAAAATGCTTCCAAGGCCTGTACTTCGTCTTCAACCTTCAGCCAGTCAGAGCACCTGTAACTTCTTCATCTCTCAACAAAAATGAAAAGTTCAAACTTGAAAGTTGTGGCATTTCTTCCCACGAATCCAACCATATAAATAAATAAAGCTATAAATCTAAGATGAGTGAGAATTTTTCTGGCCCTAATTTAAAACCTAAAAATTTCAGAAACTTCAACTCTAAAATTCTCTAAGCTCAGGCCATATAAATGCAAACTATGGATATGTACAACTTCGTGGCAATGGTATCTACATTTTATCTTCACAAATCAGAATCAAATGATGCTTGTATGAAGAGATAGAAGTTTGAAAACTTACCTCTTGCAGCTGGAGTCGTGTATGGAGTTTGAGCAACCTTTGAGATGGCCTGATGATTTCTATAGCTTTCCCGAACCTCCTTGAGTGTGTTCCAATTCCTACTTTGCTTTGAGGATGGTTGAAACTCTCAACTCAAGTCAAGTTGTAAGCTTCAGTTTTGAAAATGGTGGATGGTGATGGAGGGGCTACAGTCAGGAAACAGGGGCCTGGATCACTTTGATATGATGTATATTAAGTGTTTGGATGGTTAAAACTCAATACGCACGAGTGGATTTGAAGATGGCTATGTGAGGTTCAAAACTGTCAATTTATGGCAGATTCTTAGTTGCAGAGTGCTTGGGAGTGTTTTTTTAGGTCCTTCAAATCATGTGTTATGTTGCAATATACATGTGCATAAGTAAGGAAAGGGTTAGAGTACTTGATGAGGTCATAAGCACACGATGTAGAGTTATGGCTATGTTACTTGATTTTGAAGAAAAGTGAAAACATGGTTTCAAGGCATAGTACAAGAATGGCCTGATTTTATGGGAGGCTCTAGACATGTTTCTTTTTCCTTTGACATTGCTTGTGATCAGAAGGAACAAGTGCAAAGCTCTATGCATTGACTTTGTGATTAAAGCTTCTTTACAAGAATGGAATGGTTACTTTGTGCCAAAAATGGAAATGTAACTTGGATAAAGGCTCAAGTGCTTGGACTAAAGCTCTAATAGTTGTGTAAACATTTAATTATGGAGTGACAAACAAGTTTGAGGCCTGCAAAGCAAATATTATGCAGCCTAGGCTTGGATTTGAATTCTTGTTCATCATGAAATGGCTTGTAATTTAAGTTTGAAAACCCTAACTTCATCTCGTCGATTCTCCTTGATCACAAATGTTCTCAAGGATTTATTGGACATTTTTGAAAGCTTGTAATGTTCTCTATAACCCCTCTTTGAATCACTTTTGAAAATTCCAATTGGAACTATATGAAAAAGTTCCATGAAGTTAGGTCAAAATCCTAACCAAAACTAGGGCAAAATTTTCAGTGTTCAATTTCAATACCATGACTTTATGAATTAATGAATTGAGATCTAAGAACTTTTAGAAGAAGTTGTGTAAAGAAATTTTGTAGATATCATGGAGATCTACAACTTTCATGTTGAAAGTTTCTTTTGAACCATCTTGCATCATGGTGAAAAATTGGCTCAAAGTTGTGAAAAAACATGAAGTTTTAAACACTTAGAAAAAATTTTAAGTGAGAAAACTTTGACTTTTCAAAATGAAATCATGACTTTTTGATTTCTTGGTGAATAAGCTTCATATTTTGACATGTTTTAATGAATTGTGATCTTTGGCACTTGATTTTGACCAAAAAGTCAAAGTTTGACTTTTCAGTGTATAATTGAGTTTTGACCAGTTGACTGAAAATTCACTATCAATCCAATTGATCTTGAGCAATGTTTTAGGTCATGCCATTAGGTAAAAATGATGCAAT